TCAGTCACTTTGCACCACAGATGGTAGAGGAATTTTGGTCTTTTTGCTAATTTATTCTCTTAACATTCAGGTGGCAACTTTGGCAAATGCCTCTTTGACCACACAAGTTCCCGAACCCCACTGGGGCTTGAACGCTGTCCCTCAGCTCTTCAGTTTAAGGCTAGCCCTCTACCACTTGAACCACAGCACCACTTCTGGCTTTTTCTGCTTATGTGGTGCTGAGGAATCAAACCCAGGGCCTCATGCATGCAAGGCAAGCAAGCACTCTACCACTGAGCCACCTTCCCAGCCCCTGGAATAATTTTTAGTGATTCTATCTCCTCTCCAGTTTTTTTTTTTTTGTTGTTGTTGTTGTTTTACTTTGTGAAGATAGAAGGTTCTATCTTTCCTATAGAGTTCTTCAGGGTGTGCTTGGTTGGGATCTGTTATCATTGCTCTCCTCTTCTAACCCTTCCACCTTTTCCAGTACCCCTCCCCCTTTGTTGTTTTTAAAGAAACACACATTTCGTCTTCAAAATAAAAATTTATTCAATCTGTAACAAGAACATTGAATCTGCACATTTGCGCACAAGTTCACATTTAAAAACAGCGGAGCACATCAGTAATAAAAAAACTCTATGATACAAGTGGAACATCCCAACCACCAGGAAGATTAAGGAAGGAGATGAGACCACTCTATATTCTGCTTCAAATGCCTCGAAAAGGCCCCAGAGATTCCAGGGAGCACCTGCTTTAGTTAATAAAATGTGAGCATAAAAGTTTGGGTAGCCTGGGGGGCAAAGGTAACAGTCAGTGGGAGAGTCTTCTGGACTTGTTTTTCATGTTTAGAACAAGTCCTACAAAATAAAGTTAAAAAATAAAAGAAAAAAGAAAAGGCACCTTTAGCTATGCCAAGCAAATCAAAAGCCAACAAAGCATAAAACCCAAACAATTCCAGGTGGGCTTATTGATTAGGAGGCATTTCAGGGTCAGTTCCCCAGTTTTCAGTTTGGGTCGTCAGCTTGAGTTAAGCACTGGGTACAACTCTGCATGCATACACAGGACGCGGCCACCAGCATCTCTTGAGGACACGATGGCAGTACCAGTCCTATACCTCTTGGGAGAATCTTCAAGCTGATAAGGATGATTCCAGTTTAGAAATCTTTTCCTAGATCTCTGGGGCATTGAGAAGATGAGGCTGGTTCTTTTTTCATAGCTGAAGCTAGGCCCAGCTATCCTCCACTTCCAGGCTGAAAAAAAATTACAGAAGCACCTTGCAACAGCTCAGCATGGCGTCAAGGGACCTCAATCACTGGGAGGAAGGAGTGTGCAGCTTCCATCTTTGGAAGCAGGCCTTTTCCTAATACAGGTATGTTGGATGAGTTGAGGCCACAAATACACTTATGTCTAATACATGCTTTGATCTTGTAGTTCAGAAGGGAAAAAGTCCACAATGAAGTTGGATGATGCTGAAAACTAAATTTCATCTTATCTACCATCAAAAAAGGAAAATTAAACAAAACATACTACCCATTCACCATTTTGACCATCACTATTAAGATACACCACCACTTAGGAAGTTATGACTGTTGGAAGAGATACAGGATACAGATGGTAGTCAGCTCCAGGCTTTACCCACGTATCCACAAGGGCTGACATTATGGCATTGCTCTGAGTGAGGACTCACAGGACAGCCAGGGCCTGAGTGCCTGGAGGACTGAGTGGCCAATGAGATGATGCATATTTTAATACTCACAATGTAAACAAAGTATCAATAAATTGTCTGAAAAAGCCAAAAATGGCTTTATTTGAAAATGCCCTTAAAATTGACTCTTTGCATAATGCTTAGGAAAATAAAAACCCCAAAACCCAACAGTTACTTCCACAAAACATCTTTACTCAACTAGATCACTTCACAACTGAAAAATTTCAGGTTTACCCAAAATTTGGGGCCCATGAACAGGAGGGGACCTCAGAGCCCAGGCTGTCATCCTCAGGCTGTCCCTGGAGTTCTTGTTAGTTTCCCAAATGAGGAAATACCATTTGGGACAAAGGTACAGAACGAGGAAAACATTAAAGAGCTTGCTAAGGCTGAGATGCTAGGAATGATCCCAAAACATGTTTAGATAGAATTTGAATGGCAACTAAAAGGGGGAGAGATGATCACTACCTTACTACAGTACTAGGTGTCTACTATAGCACATACTACTGCTAAGTGTTTCTGAAAATTAAGATGCAATGGGGTTTCTCTCTTACTGATCAGGTAACCATCCAAGTACAGCTCTAATCCATGTGCTCTGGGGCTTTTACCCTGTGCACTGAAATGTCACAACTTTTGTATGCACGTGTCCAGTTGTGCAAGCATGCACACACAAACATTCCCCCCAAGTTACTGAGATACTATAGTGATTTAAAAAAAAGAAAGAAAAAGAAGTCCTGAGCAAGAGGACAAACACTAGACAAGAGGTCAAAGTTTTCCTGCTCAGCACTGTTAATTTGCCAAACCTGATGGCCTTTTCATGAACAGAAGAGAGAAACAGACCACCTGAAATTATAAAAAAAAAACTTTGGAGAGACTGCAAAGTCCTTTATGCAGTTCATTATATGCACTTATCCTCAACATTTACTCAGCTATGTACATCACTCATGAACACCCAAATGTGGGTGTTTAGAGGCTGGCAAGACCCCTTGGCATGGCTGGATCATAAACTCTGTAAAGATGTTTATTTAGGCAGGTAAGTTAAATGGTAAAAAAATGGAATAATAAAAAAGGCAGGCAGAGCAAGACTTTCTTCCATTCTTTAAAAGAGTAGCTTGGGTTTTAAATTTTTTCCTCACAGCATTAGGGGGTTTCCTCTCAGTCTCTATTGTATGAGCACTAAACACTGGAAGGTGAGAAGAGGGAATAGTGTCCTGTTGTTGATACTGCTTGCAGTTGGTTAATGTGTGGGACACTGATGCCACTCAACCACCATTCAAATCCTTTCCTGCCCATCCTTGCCATACTTTCTTGTCCTCTTTCCAACAAACTGGTAGTGGGAGTTCCTCCACAAGACAGCATGCTTTAGATGGATGAGCCCTGGAATTGATCACTCTGTCTCACAAATCTACTTGAACTGGTATAAATCACCTAACAAAAACCTTAACAGCACATGAATATCCAGTAACCACAACGCACCGATATTTAAGGAAACTACAGAAAGGCTGGCACAGGTACACATGACTACACGACCATACACTTTTTAGCAGGGGTTCCTGTCCAACCTGCCTCCTGGAAGTGATATCAGACCCTTGTAGATTCTATATGGTAAATGGATCCATTTGCTCTGAAACACTTGCTTTAAAAGGTGGCCTGGGTCCACTTTTTTTCTGTATTTTCTATTTGCACTCCAAACCCTGGCCTCTGACATCACGTTGACAGTCTGTACATCCATCTTTTTCTCTCATTGCTATGATGAATCAAAACGCTAAGTCTCACATTTGTACTCAGCCAATCCTCAACAATGTGGACATCAACCAAAGAAGACAGGAAGCAAATTTGCAACCTCTTCAGTTTTGATGAGCTATGTTGGGAGTTTCATTCCAGGCTAAATTTGTTTTCTGTAAGCAGCTCAAAGTGGCTTGCTTATGGCAGGCGCTCCTGTGTTAAGGATCTTCACAACAGCAGCAAAGCAAAGGTATCCTAAATGGACTCATTATGGGTGTTTACTCTTGGCTGAGGACTCCTCAGTGGCCTCTCAGTCTTCATTAGGAGCTTCTACCCTAGGGAGCGCGCATGTGCACACAAAAATGCACGTACGCAACTCCCTGGCTGTGCTTCAGCTACTGGCAAATGACATCTCAAACACAAATCAGTCTTCAGCTATGCTGTGATCTAATGGGAATGGAGCTGGAGGTTAGAAGTCTCTTTAAACAATTAAAACTGCCATCATATGCTGTGCAGATTCCTACCAACAACTATCAGTTTTATTTCTGGTGTTTCTGTGTGTTTTCCAGGTGCAAGTCCTTCTTACAAAAAAAAAAAAGGGCCCACAATATCAACAACAAAACATTAAGAAAGTGACATTATATACATAAATACTGTGTATAAACTTTAGTGAAATGACAAACTTTCCAGGAAAAGAAAAAAAACCATATCAAAAAAAATTACGTCAAGTGTTAACAGTGAGAATGTAGAAAACTTTGCATTCAATGGAGGTTATGATATATAATGTAACAATTCAAATATAACCCATGAAATTAAAAAAATGGGCAGGATGGGCAAACAGCAAGGGGGAGGAAAATAAATTGGGAAAAATGTGGCCATAAACTCAGAAGACCTACAGAATTATTCAAGTAATGGAAGGGTTAAAACCCTACATAGTTAGCCTTTGTAACAAGAACACTTGAACTTTTGATTGCTGTTTTCCAAACCAGTCCCCCTGTGTTTTAGTTGGAGGCTGCTGCAAGTCACATGTCAGCAAAGTCGGATAGATGACCACCTGTGTGCATCCTGCAACTCAGGAAGTATTGGGTAGCAGCCAATCTGTCAGGTTTCAATTGGGGTTCCTTTTAATTAATTTTTTTCTTAGGGGAAAAAGTATATGCTTGATAAATTTATAAAAGCAGCCACATTATCTAGAACACTCTAGAACACCAGAAGCAAGCAAAGTAGAGCCAGGGCTGGTGGAGCATGCCTGTAATACCAGTACTTGGGGGGTGGAGGCTAGCCTGAGCTACACAGTAAGACCCTGTCTAAAAAAAACAAAGTGGAACCCTTCCCATCTTAAGAAGTCCCAGAACGAGGCCTGGAGATGAAGGCTGAGAACACCGACTTCCCAGCTACCCTTCAGCCCATTCAATGCCTCAGGCTTGGGGAACATTTCCATTTCTCAGCTTCAGTGCCACCCTTCCCATCTGCTTTCTTCCCTCAATAAAATTAAAATCAAGCATGCTTTTTCTCAGAGGGCAAAATGAAGAGCAGGTGGCAGTTGATTGAAAAACAGCAATTTGCCTTTGATAAAGGTGTTCTTTGAAAAATGTTTTTTTTTTTGAGGTTTGAATTTTTTAAAAATGAAGAGTGATAACGGTCTTGCCATCTAAGTCAATCTGTCTCTCTCTCTCTCTGTACACACGTGCACACACACACACACACACACACACACACACACACACACACAGAAAAACCCAAACCCTGCATGTGCCAGGAACAGTAAAATGACAGAAATATTATAAAATTAACCAATAAAGTGCATGTTCCTTACATATTACACCTGCCCCTTTTACAAACATTTTTCTTAGAAAATCACATGTATAGGCTCAGAATCACATGGTGTTATAGAAGGGGTTGGTTGTCCGTTTTTTATCATTTGCCCTTTTCAGTCTCCTAAGGGGGTGAGTTCTGCCATGTTGCTGACGGGGTGCCACGGCCAGCCCTGGAGCTGAGCCTGCGCACTGCAGTTCCTGGGTCTGGAGCAAAGGAAGGCCTCCTTCAGAATTAGTCAATTCTGGCCCTGCCCTGGGGAGCAAACACTGCTGACTGTAACCAAATTCTTTGGCATACTGCACAAGGGGCCTCTCCACTGGCTTGCTCTGTGCAATACACTCTGATGTTCTGAGTTGCTCTACAAAATACTTGGTAGGCTCTGGGTTCTGAGGGGCACCTGCGTTTTCTGGGGGCTCCTGGGCCTCTATGGCATGCATGCCTGAGTCTGTTCTGATGAAGGGCTGAAGCAGTTTGAGATGAGTGGATTCAGAGGAGAGGGGCTCTCTCTCTGGTAAACAGTCTTTACAAAGGTCCAGGTAACCTAACTTGGCGAGGGAGGCTGAGCGCCTCATTTGGGATGGTTTGGTTAGCCCTGTCTGGAAAACCACTCTAGATTCAATTTCTTTAGCACGCTCCTTCACCACACCAGGGATGTGGCTGAGACCCTTTACATTTTCACTAGAGCTATGTGGGAGGTGACAGGCTATAAGTGATGAATCCAGTTTTTTCTGTAACTCCCCAACATTGTCACTGAATTTGCTAATTAAACTTAGATCTTCACTACTTGACTGGGAGCCCCTGTGTAGCATTTCATTGCCACTGGAGGCAGGGCTCCTTTGGCTTTCTTGCCAGTTAAGCTGCTCTGCAGAGGGCTCACTGTCTGTGGTGCTGCTTTGTTCTGTGCAGCCTTCCAGGTGAACCATGGTCTGGGGATGCAGGTAATCCATGCTGGCAGGTGGTATGTGGGTTGTATGACTGACAAAAGGTGCTATTGTCTCTAAGGTTGTAGATGGGCTACTGCCCGGGTCTTCAGGGCTTCTCAGCATGAAGGTCAAGTCAGTGGGCCTGTCATACTCAGGAGAGGAAGAATGAGGCAGAGGTAGCAATTGGGAGTGCAGAGAAACCTGGTTGGGGTCTAAAGTTCTGTTCAGATTTTCATCCAGGGCACAGAGCATAGTGATTGACTTCTCTACCTTCACTTTCCTTAGTCCTTGCTCCTCCTCTTCTTCTCTGGAGGCTGTTTCACCCCCTAGTCCTGTATGATCAACTGATGTAACTGTGTGGGTATACTCAATGATTTCTATCCTTTTTGGAAGGGGCATAGGGATGGCTTGTGTTTCAGATGCTTGGTGAGAAATCACAGTCCTATGCTCCTTCAGGACTCCATCCTGTTTTGTTCTAGTATCTGACCCTGGGAACTCTTGAGGAGAAGGGAAGGGGTGATACTCGGGAAGCTGGGGAGCTGGAACAATGGCATTGTGTTCACAATGGGATAGTAAGCTAGCTTCAGACCCACCGCATTTCCCTTTGCCCTTGCTCATCTCTCGTTCCTTAGGGGCAAATGAGTATTCTGAGATGACTTCATCATTTTTCCCTTTCGGTGCTAGGTCTGCCATAGAAGAATCATTTTTAGAATTCTTGCGAGTAGACAATGAGGTACACACAGGGCTAGTACCATGGTGCTCCTGCTCCTGTCGTAAGCGCTCTTCAAACTCTAGGGTGGCTCTCCTCACAGATCCAGGGCACCATTTGGCACCAGGATGCATCCCTGGGCCCCAGAGTTCATGTTCCCCTTCAGCTAGGTTCTCTTCTTCCAAGTCTGCCATGGCTGAGTGTATGGTTAGGCAGCCTTCTGGGTTGTACTTCCCTGAGTCTTTGTCTAGTCCAGGCTGGGCTGTGTAGTAACTCTCATCCTGCTCCACATGTCCAGGCTTGTTTTCAGGGCTCTGGGCTCTCTCAAGGGGCAGCTCATGGATGGTGTTCTTCTTTGGTGTATGGCATGGGTTGGACAGGATGTCTCCTCCTTTCAGTGGAATCTGTCCAACTCCTTGACTGATAGACTCAATTTCGGTGACAATTTCTTTGACTGAAATTGCATTTTCTGAGTGAGATTGCATGAAGATATCTGGGCTGACCAGTTCTGAGATTGCCTGAGAAGAGAAAGTAGCAAGATGAGCATGGAAAATTGTAGCTTATCTGAAAGTGTTCTGCTTCTTCATTCTCTGATCCAAGACAATCTATTTAGCTATGAGAACACAGTCAAGGTCCAGGATCATACTGCCCCCTATTTTGTCAGGCAATAAGGAAAAGGACAGAGAATAAAAAAATTCACCGTAAGTCATAAAACTGCTTACTAAATTTTCTGGTCTGTTCATTTAGACAGAATTCTAATCTAGTACCTTGCTCTAAAATAAACAGCACATGGCTTTGGAGTCACTTAGAATCCATATTTTCCTAGTTCTCAGCTTTCAGGACTCAGGTCATGCTGAGGTAATGAGACCTTTCTCTTCTGACTGATCAACTTCCAGTTCAATCCTAACCTGCTCAGGGTGAAGGCCCAAAGCTTAGTGGCCAGCTCGGGTATGCCTAACATGAAACAGGGCAAGATGGATGTGGCTGTTGTCTGATCTCTGATTTGGAGACCCACTGCTCTCTTCTCTCTAGCTTTTTTCATCCATATCCTTCCATTGCTTCTCCAAGTAGCAGCTTCTCAGAACATAAAAGAGCAGAAGAAAACACTGTCTGACCACATAATCCCTAAATTTCACATGGGAAATTTATTCACCCACATGCTTCAGCACACTTAGAAATAATCACTCTTTAACAACTTAACCAGTTCAAAACTCTTGAGCTAGTATTGGAGCTTGCTCTCCTCACTTGGCTTTTTTGTGTAGGGCTGGTGCTGTACCACTTGAATCATACTGGCTTTCTGCTGGTTAATCAGAGATAAGAGTCCTACCGGGCTGGCTTTGAATTGTGATCCTGAGACCTCAGCGTCTTCAGTAGTTAGGAGTGCCACCAATTCCTGGCAAAAGCACTTTTTTTTTCTGTGTGTGCCAGTAGTGGTGGTGCTTTTCCTTCCAGTTCAAAACTGATGGATGATAATGTCAGCTGAGTACTAAGTGGCTCATGCCTGTGATCCTAGCTACTCAGGAAGCTGAGATCTGAGGATCACAATTCAAAGCCAGCTTGGGCAGTAAAGACTGTGAGACTCTTACCTTCAATTAACAGTCCCTCCCTCCCCCAACACACACACACACACACACACAACAAAGCTGGTAGCAGAGCTATGGCTCAAGTGGTAGAGGGCTAGCCTTGAGCAAAACAGCTCAGGGATGGGCTAGGAATGTGGCTTAGTGGTAGAGTGCTTGCCTAGCACACATAAAGCCCTGGGTTTGATTCCTTAGTACCACATAAACAGAAAAAGCCAGAAGCGATGCTGTGGCTTAAGTGGAGAGCACTAGTATTGAGCACAGAGAGGATCATGGACAGATCCCAGGCCCTGAGTTCAAGACCCAGGACCAGCAAAAAAAAGAAAAAAAGCTCAGGGACAGTGCTGGAACCTGAGTTTGTGCCCAAGGACTGGCAACAACTATAACAACAAAGAACAAGATCCAAAGAAAATTAGCCAATGCAAAATCAGGTCTTATTAGTATGATTATCCATTTTGTTAACATTTTAAAATAAAACTTTTAAGTATTTTCCTAGGAATCAATCTGGTTTGAATTGTAATACAAACTAACAAGGTCAGTTTTGACTCTAGGGGGAAATTTGTCAGAACATCAGGTAGAGGTGGACTTGCCAAGACTGGAGAGAAGCCACAGCAGGCCTGATGTATGCAGGGATCTTGGAGAGAGTACTCATATGACCAAGGATACTGAAGGAAGGCTATTTCTGTAATTCCTACTGCACTGTTTAATACAAAAGAAGAGCTCAAGCATTCTGACTTCCCAGCAGAAACAAAACAGTATTAGCTTTTGGGGAAGGAAGGAGTCAGAAGAAGCAGTCAGAAGAGTTGCCTTGTGCTGGTTACTTAAGCTGGTAGCTCATACCTCTAATTATGGCTACTCAGAAGGCTGAGATCTGAGGACTTTGGTTCAAACCCAGCTGGAGCAGGAAAGTCTGTGAGACTCCTCTACTTAATAACAAGAGTAACAAGCTTGAAGTGGAGCTGTGGCTTAAATGGTAGAGCATTAGCTTTGAGCAAAAAAGTTCAGGAACCACATGGTAGCATATACCTGTAATCCTAGCAATTGGGAGTCTGAGACAGGAGGATTATAAATTTGAGGCCAGGTTGAGTTACATAGCAAGACTGTCTCAAAAAACAGAAAAACAGAGGCTGGGAAGGTACCTCAGGGGTAGAGTGCTTGCCTTGCATGCATGAGGCCCTAGGTTCTATTCCTCAGCACCACATAAACAGAAAAAGCAGGAAGTGGCGCTGTGGCTCAAGTGGTAGAGCACTAGCCTTGAGCTGAAGAGTTGAGGGACAGCGCCCAGGCCCAGAGTTCAGGCCCATAACCCACCAAAACAAAACTGAAAAACGTTTTTTTTTTGTGTGTGTGTGTTTATCTGGGCTTGAACTCAAGGCCTGAGCACTCTCTAGCTTTTTTGTTCAAGGCTAGTATTCTACTATTTGCGCCAGTTTCATTTCCAGCTTTTTGGTGGCTAACTGGAGACAAATGTCTGATTGAGTTTCCTGCCTGGGCTGGCTTAGAACTACAACCCTCAGATCTCAACCTCCTGAGCAGCTTGGATTAGAGGTGTGAGTCACCAGTGCCCAGCTCAGAAAAACTTTTTTTTTTTTTAATGATATATACTATTTTTTCCCTGGTTTGAGGTGGCACTTAGGAATCTTAGGATTGTTTTTCTTTCTTTCTTTTCCTTCCTTCCTCCCTCCCTTCCTTTCCTTTCCTTTTTTTGGAGTCAGTCCTGGGGCTTGAACTCAGGGCCTGGGCATTATCCCTGAGCTTCTTTTGCACAACACTAGCACTCTATTTTTTTTTTTTGTCGGTTGTGGGGCTTGAACTCTGGGCCTGGGCGCTGTCCCTCAGCTCTTCAGCTCAAGGGGAGCGCTCTACCACTTGAGCTACAGCACCACTTCCGGTTTTCTGGTGGTTTATTGGAGATAGGAGTCTCACGGTCTCTCCTGTCCGGGCTGGCTTTGAACCGCTATCCTCAGATCTCAGCCTCCTGAGTAGCTAGGATTACAGGCATGAGCCACCAGCGCCCGGCAACACTAGCACTCTATTGAGCCACAGCACCACTTCCAGCTTTTTCTGTTTATGTGGTATTGAGGAATTGAACCCAGGGCTTCATGCATTCTAGGCAAGTAGTCTACCACTAATCCACATTCCTAGTCCCCAGGAATCTTAGGAAATCTGTCTGCTTTTAAATTCATTTCCTTAAACTAACCCTTTATTCTTGAGTGCCACAGGGCTGGAGATGAAGAATTCAAAAACATAATTAGTAGCAAGAACTCATATGAGAATAAGTTGCTACTCCAACAATTATTTAGAAATGTGGATTTTCTGACTCAAAAAGAGTTTCCCAAACAAATCCAACATTCTCAGGGAGACAGAGGTCTCAACTCAGCCTCTGAATCCTGGTGAGATTTGATCTGAACTGCTGTGGTCTACAGAGGTGATCTTGTTAGCCCATATATATATATATATATACACACACACACACACATATATATGTGTGTATGTGTATGAGTGTGTGTATATACATATATGTGCATAATTTAAAAAATATTCAAAGATAGAAATATTTTAAATAAAAAGTATTTGAAAATATTTAAAACCTAAGTTTTCAAGAAATATCTCAGCCAGACTGAAGACTGCCTCCCTAAATCTTCATTGATGTCAAAGATAAAGTCAAGACTGGAGTATAGCTTAGTGGTATAATGCTTACTGAGCATGTGTGAGGCATTAGTCTGAACTCAAGCACTACAGATGAAAAAAAGGAAGTCAACAGAACACTATATAATAGTTTGTCTTTGGTTTTTACCTTTGACTGTTCCTCATCCACTGAAGATTCTTCAGACACATGCGGAGTATTACTCAAAGAGCTGCTTTTCTGGTCATCAGCAGTCACTTCAGAAGGGACTACTTCTACCATTGACAGCCGACAGCCTTCACTCCTGCCTCCACTAAGCTCCTCCATCCTTGAGTGAGAAAAAGATCGAGACCGGGTTTCTTGAGAGAGTTCTACAAACTTCTCCAGGGCACTAAAAAAATCAATGCGATCTGTACTGAAATCTGAGATTTCAGCCTGGCAACTGGTTTGGGGGCTAGGTGACTCAGGATCAGGGGACATGGGGAGGTCTTTAAGTCGAGACGTCAACTCTTCCATCGGCAGTAAGTGGACGTTCATGTCTGCTTTCAGTGCATCTGTCTCCAAATCTTCCACTGTTAAGTCTGGGAACTTGTTGACCATTTCTGGGGCCTGTCCAGGTTGGATTAAGGCTTTGGATGCATGGCAGTTGTCAAGAGGGAATTTTGATTCACTGAGACAACATCCTGATGAGCATCCATTGATGTCATTTAAGTTTAATTCATCTTCAATCTGTCCAGCATGAAATTCCCTAGAAGTGAACTCCAAGCAGATCATTCTTTCTTTGGTACACAGACCTTTCTGATTTGCATCTTGTGGGACCACATGTTCCACAAAGACAGGAGGTATGGATGGGTGATTCTCCAAGGTTTTCACCTCTGCAATCTGGTCTGCTGAGGTGGTGATCTCCTTCTTGTTGAGTTCCAGCCCAGGTTTGCAGATGGGTTCATGGTGGTCTGAGAGGTCGCTATCTGAATGGGATCTCCAGAGCTTGTTATGCCGCTGTTTGCTATGGAGGATATACACAGGAAACATCTTATTCTACTTTGTTATAAACAGTTAACTTCCTAGGAAAATCCCCCCACCCTCTTTTGTGCTAATACTGGTGTTTGAACTCAGGGCCTTGTTCACTGGTGGCTTTTTTATTCACAGCTGGTACTCTACCACTTCAGCCACACCCAAGTTGTTTTTTTGCTGTTTAATTGGAGACAAGAGTTTCATATGATTCCCAGACTGGCTTTAAAGTGTGATCTAGACTCTTAAGTAGCTAGAATTACAGGCATGAGCCATTTGTGGCCAGTGACAAACTTAAATCTTAACCTGAAAAATGCTTTGGTACTGCTCAAAGGGGCAATGCAATAAACATTTCAAAAGATGCTTTTAATATTAAAAAAACAAAAGCAAAGTGAGACAATAGTAACAATAAATTCATTAGCCTGGATTTTTTTTGTCAGTTGTGGGGCTTGAACTCAGGACCTGGGTGCTGTCCCTGAGCTTTTTGTTCAAGGCTAGCACTCTTCTACTTTGAGCCACAGCTCCACTTTCAGGTTTTGGGTGGTTAATTGGAGATAAGGGTCTCCTGGGCTTTCCTGCCCTGGGTGGCTTTGAACTATGATCCTCAGATCTCAGCCTTCTAAGTAGCTAGGATTATAAGTGTGAGCCCAGTGAGCCTGGATTTTTTTTAACCTATCAGACTGACAGAAGCTAAAACTGTTGGTAACAGCCACTGTTGATAATAATATGGCCAAGTGACCAAGTAAGCTAGCTGTCTCATATACTGTGGGTAGGAGAGTAAAATGCAGACTTTTTTTTTGCTAAGTCATGGGGCCTGAACTCTAGCCTGGCTGGGCATTATCCTTCAGCTCTTCAGCTCAAGGCTAGTACTCTACCTTGAGTCACAGCACCATGTCTGCCTTTTTTTCATTAATAGTGGTGCTGAGGAATCAAACCCAGGGCCTCATGTATGCAAGGCAAGCATTCTACCATCTTCCCAGCTTTAGACTTTTTTTTGGTTGGTCGTAGGGCTTGAACTCTGGGCCTGGGTGCTGTCCCTCAGCTCTTCAACTCAAGGCTTTCACCCTACCACTTGAGCCACAGCGCTACTTCTGGTTTTCTGGGTGGTTTATTGGAGATAAGAGTCTCACAGACTTTCCTGCCCAGGCTGGCTTTGAACCTTGATCCTCAGATCTCAGCCTCCTGAATAGCTAGGATTATAGGTGTGAGCCACTGGTACCCTGCGAAATGTAGACTTTTTAATTGTCAAATCTGACAATAGCTCTCCAAATCTAACCCTTTAACAAGCAGGTTTTTCTTGGAGAAATACTGTAACTATGCAACTATGTAAATACCAGAATATTTATCATGTTATGATACTGAAAAATTAGATACTGAAAAATAATTTAACTAAATTCTAGTCTTTAAAAACTACTATGAGGTTATTTAGTCATGTTTTTTAGTGGAATGATGTCCAATGTGTACTATTAATGAAAAAGTATATTGAACATATTTGGAATGGTCAGTTTCCAAATTGCTGATCTTTCAAGGAAGACAGAAATCTTGCTGGGGAAGGTTATTACTTAGTATATTCCATGTTTGTGGAATATACTGGGCACTGGGCACTGTACCTAAATGTTTGTGTGCAAGGCTAAGTAAAGCTCTACCACTTGAGCAACAGCTCCACTTGTGGCTTTTTGGTGTTGAATTTGAGGTAAGAATCTCATGGACTTTCTCAGCCTCCTGAATAGCTACAATTGTAGGCACAAGTCACCAGCACCTAGCAAGATTAATTTTTAATTAAAAGAAAGAGCATGTTTAATAATTAGAATGAGAAAAATATCTCAAATCAAAACAATATACCAATCATACAAGGGAAATACTCTATTGGAGCTTATTACCAACTGCTTGTAATTGGGAATGAAGAACTTTAGTATGATTTGTGGCTATTGTGGAGGTGTGAGGAGGATGGTGATCACTCTTGAATTAGAAAACAAAGGTAGGAAAAAAAAAGAAAACAAAGGTAGGGCAAGTAAATTTGGACAATGGTTTCTACAGAATGAAAAGATGGGTATAGGCTGGGAAGGTGGCTCAGTGGTAGAGCACTTGCCTTGCATGTCTGAGGTCCTGGGTTCGATTCCTCAGCACCACATAAGCAAAAAGAAAAAAGCCAGAAGTGGTGCTGTGGCTCAAGTGGTAGAGTGCTAGCCTTGAGCTGAAGAGCTGAGGGACAGCACCCAGGCCCAGAGTTCAGGCCCCACGACTGGACTCCCCCCCCCAAAAAAAGAAAAATGGGCATAAAATACAGGCCATTTTTCATAAGGATGTTAGGTCTCCTTTTACCCACCTGTTTTCCAAGTACTGGTAGACAAAAGGAGGCCTTCTCTTCCATCCCTCAAAACTACTGCATCTCCATCTTTTGGTTACTTTATGAAGAGAAAATCTGAGGTGGGAATGAGTCTGTGGCTCATTTCAAACACATACTCACAGGAAGCACAATTCCCAAAACATGGGCCCTAAAGAGAAAGCTGGCTGTGTTATTAGTGACCAGAGACAAGGTCACTAAGGTGTTTGGGTGGGGTGCGGTCTCATGACTTCCAAGCCAATGAACAGTTACCTAATTGCTGGGCCTAAAACAATTTTCCTCAGGCTCAGGGCCACACCCGGCACTGCTGAGTCATACCCTGTACTAATGTGACCCCATTTCTTCTTAATTCTGCACCTGTTCTCAGTTCCCCATCTGTCTGCTGCTAGCATGGGGGCCCTCTCAGATTCTTGTCTAGAGGGGTGCTTTCTTAAGTAGGGAGCAGACTGTTTATGAAGACAAGCTGTAATCAATTAGCTAGGGTTTTCACCTTTTCCAAGCTGCAAGGACTGCAGTCACCCCTAGGAGGAGACAACCTATCACACATCAAGCAAGTAGGTGGCTGGGAAGAGAGACTGCCTGGGCCTAAATTATGAAAAACCAAAGCCAGTGTGCTTCCTTTTTAAGATTCTTCTTTTATGTCCATACATACCTACATATGACCCTGTTCCCTAACTTCTTTGTCACTTTTCAGTGAGGTTGCTGAGAACTGCACTAGCTCTTCTTGCTACTGTGACTGGGCTAGACAACTGAGAAGGCAACTATTCTCCTTCTAATAATATAAAGAGCAGCCTGATTTTATCAATCAACAGGCAAATGATAAGTTCCCATGATCCCAAGAGTCCTACAAAGTATAGCTTTTCAAAAAATGTCTTCAAATCATTCATTAGTTAAGAGGGAATGAGAGACTGAAATTTTGCTAATGAGCATAAACACTGTATGTTTCAGAAGTAGCTCACCTCACTAATATGCTGCTCAGGAGGGATTTCCTTCTCTTGGTGGGATATGTGGGAAGGGGGAGATAATCACCAGAAAGCCCCACTGGGTGGGGCTCTGGAATCAAACTGGAACCCACTAAGAATAATGAAGGAGAAGTTCCAGCCTAAAGATGGTCTGAGGCTACTATCTTTTCCATTTTTGCAAATAGACCTGCAAGGAGAGTAGTAGGCAGCTCTCCCATAGAGTCCAGTCATTTCTATTGCTGCTAAAGCACTACTACTTCGGGCTGGGAAGGTGGCTCAGTGGTAGAGCACTTGCCTTGCACAATGCATGAAGACTTGGGTTCAATTCCTCAAAAAAAAAAAAAAAAGCCAAAAGTGGTGCTATGGCTCAAGTGGTAGAGCGCTAGCCTTGAAGAGCTGAGGGACAGCACCTAGGCCTAGAGTTCAGGCTCACCACTGGACCCCCCAAAAAAATAAAAATAAAGCACTACTACTTCTCTGAGGATAACTTCCTTCTAGAATTTTGGGTTTATCATTCTTTCTTCGAAGTGTCACTACATATTTTGTTCTTAACAATATATTGTTTAGTTTTACATGGTTTGAACTTTATATAAGTGAAATCGTACTATATATTTTTTCTACACTAACATTGTTTTAAAGATTCATGATTATAGCTGGACACAGGTGGCTCACACCTGTAATCTAGCTACTCAGGAGGCTGAGATCTGAGGATCGCAGTTCAAAGCCAGGCCCCACAGGAAAGTCTGTGAGACTCATCTTCAATTAACCACCAGAAAACTGGAAGTGGCACTGTGGCTCAAGTGGTAGAGTGCTTGCCTTGAGCTTAAGACTCAGGGACACTACCCAGGCCAAGGGTTCAAGCACACAACTGACAAAAAAGATTCATTATTGTAAATATACTTCATAGAATGTAATGAATATGTTGCAATTCATTTATCTATGTTGTTTATTAATAGCTTTGCCTATCACAAACAATGTCATAGACATTTTTGTGCCTGGTATACATTTTAGTTAGTCATAGCAACAGCTTTTATAGGAGCGGAAAATGTAGTTCATAGAGTTTTTATCCATCATCAGTTTTATTTGGTAACATTAGACTGTTTTCCAATGAACCTTTGTTTAGAACCAGGGTATTCTAACACCCTGCCCTGGTTGGGGTAGATGTAAGACATTAGATCATATCTATTATTTTCAACTATTAACTTTTAAATCCAGCTGACTCACTCTCCTGTTCCAGGCAGGCAACAAATAAACAATTTGCCAAAAAAGAACTTCAGAGTTGGTCTGTAGCCTAGATGATGCAACTAAGTCTTAGATCCTTTTCTCCTCTGAGTGGCTTCTGACCTGATTTTGGATTCATGTAAACACACAGACACACATGAGATGACTAGGCTACTACACATAAGAATTTGGCTTTTTTAAAACTTATAAACAAGAAGGAAACTTAAATGATAAGATGCATATTGCCATTCTTGTGCCTCCAGTTATTTTTAGTTTTGTGGTAGTGAGGCTTGATCTCAGGATTTCAAGTTTGATAGGTGGGTATTCTACCACTTGAGTCACACCCTTTAGTTTTTTGTTTTTGTTTTTTGGTTGGTCATGGGGCTTGAACTCTGGGTCTGGGTGCTGTCCCTCAGCTCTTCAGCTCAAGGATAGCACCACTTGAGCCATAGTGCCACTTCTAGTTTT